GGGAGCATGTAATGACCATGTGTCCCATGCTACCATCACTCTTTCTCCCAGATGGGAAGCATCATTTTGATGTTCCCAGACAAGTACTGACTTAGCACAGGAGTGGCAAGCTTCTTCGGGCCAGAGCCAGCTTCCCTCCAGCGGTCCTCATGGGAACTTTCGGGGACAACTCCAGCAAGCAAGATTCCTTCATCCAAGCTCCAAAGTGGGGTGTATGTATCTTAGGGATCATATGAGACCATCTATTTCGGGGCACAGAAAGAAATGGCTAATTTATAAGAAAAAAGAAACAATCTACTTGTATTAAATATGTGGAGTAGGGGTCCAGATGTCCCAGTTTGCCCTGGACCGAAGATTTCTTGGAACTCTTGATTTTCAGTGCTCAGTCATGGAGAATGGTCACCCCAGCATGGACTAATGCCGGGACCCAAACTTGGTTATGTGACCCATGGGTCTGAGAGCATCCCCAGAGACAAGAGGGAGCTCTGTATGGGAGAAAGGGTGACGATGGTGCCCTTGCTCAGTTCATTCACTTCCATCCTATTGCAACATAGTAAAGGTGTACAGGATGATTATCTGTGTGATTAACTTTGTAGACACAGCACCTCTCGATGATACAATCTTCATGATGGTATGAGACGCTTGCACCACAAAGAGAGTCACTGATTACCTCATGGCAAAAGACTCTGAAGAACTGTCAAACTGAAAAATGAATTATGTATATTTTAAAAATATATAATCATACTAAATTTGCTATTCTTTTTTGGTTGATGAGTTGACTGTCCAAAATATGCTACCTGCAGATTTTTTTTTAAGTAACAAACACAATTTGCATTTAATCGGCCCATCAAGGCAAAGATGACATCTTAATGATGCTTTTGGAAGCTCGTGCAATGGGGAAAACATTGAGGAAGTGGAAGTTTACTAGATATTTAGGAATATATCCATCATTATGTGATATTGTTGGTAACCATTACAATACAGATGTGTGTCACCTATGAAAACTCTCTTACCTTCATATTTTTTTTTAAGTAGAAGCAGAATGTTTGAGCTTAAGAATTTTCCAGATACAGATGTTGAGTGGTTTTAACTCAGTGTGTTAAAAATATGAAAAGGCAACATCTTCAATGAGTTTGTCAGTCTAGTTAATGTCAGCTAAGATGGCAATTTACTAGCCGGATTTAAAAATAAAACCTCTGCTAAACCAATGGAAGGAGTTACAAAATGATTTTTGTAATTCATTTAGCACAGCCAACAATACACTATTTTTATTTAGCTCTCAGGATCTTTGTATGGTATCTTTTTCAGCTACAACATCCCTTCAAACAAAGTACTTAAGTCAGTTGGACTTAGACCCAGATCTTCAAATTGGAGTATCACAAAGATTTAAAAAATCAATTTAGACATATCCAATAATATTTCTCCTTCTACATATAGTTAATGAGGCTAAAAGAACTTTTATACCATTAATAAATGAAAATAATTAAAGTATTATCTATTTTATGCTTACCTCATCTTTTAAATTTCTATTATTGTGACCACTTTATAATGAATATTCATAGAGTAATTCAGATATAATTTATAAATAACTAAATATACATGTGTGGAATGGACACACATACCAAAAAGAGATCACTGATCTCGAAAACTACTTCAAAGTAGAAATCTATAACAATTCATGATGCCTACCTAGCCCAGAGTTGCCACTCAATAACACAGATTCAATGAATGAATGAATGAACCCCTTCATCAACGTTCTCATGTATTGTAGGAGTGCCTTTTTTAAGGCTGAATAATATCCACTCGATGTATATGCCACGTTCTCTTTCTCCATTGAGGACGTTATGCTAAGTGAAATGAACCAGTCACAGAAGGATAAATACTGCACAATTCCACTTATATGAGTTTTTTTTCCTAAAATAATCAAATTCCTAGAAGCAAAGAATAGAATGGTGGTTGCCAAGGGCTAGGCAGATGGGGCAAAGGAAGTTGCTAATCGGTGGGTGTAACATTTCAGTTATGCAAGATGACTAAGTTCTAGAGATCTGATGTATAACATTGTGCCTACAGATAACAATACTGTATGGTACACTTAGAAGTATTTTGAGTGTTCTTGATAAAATTAATTTACTTAAAAATTTTAAAGCCCTTCCACAGAAGCCATAGTTGTACATGGAAGAACTAACAAATAGATTAAGAACACCAGCTTCTGGAAGTTTCTACACAAGCATTCAAGAGAAAAAAAGCATCTGAGAAGCATCATGTCTCTATGAGTCTGAGAAAGGAGGCTTCACTGTAATCAACTGCATCATCCATATCCATATTCCTTTACCAGAATGTCATTAATTCAATTCAGTGAGGAACTATTGAGTGCCTCCTATCTGACTCACAAAGGAAGTTACTACAAAATAAGTTATCTATGATTTCTGATTTCGAGAAATTCGTGTTAAAAAAAAAAAAGGAAGGAAGGAAATTCGTGTTTAGCTTTAGAATAAGTCTCCAACTTCCACTTAGAGGAAGAATCACAGAATTTGAGCCTCTGGGCGATGTTATTATTTGGTAGATGCCCAGCTTCTTTGTCTTACCACATACTCATCTTCTCCTTGTTGCCTTTTTCAGGCTAGAAATGGGCAGCTTCATGGATCACAGTCTGGCAGAGCACCCACCAAGACCAAGCTAACCACATCTTCCACATCGCAGATCAAGTGGCTCACAGTTCTATCATGAAAGCTGGTAAGAAATGCAAAATGCATTTTTAAAAGATCTTCCCCCTTGGTAAAACTCAAGTACCTTTTCTTTCACATCTTTCTTCTGGATTATGATCTACATATAGAATAAGAAAAAAGTTAACCATAGTGATAATCTAAAGTGAGCTAAATAGCTGGATGGACTACTGTCCCCCTAAATCTGGAAACAAGATACATGGCAGAATAAATTAGACTATTGGGGCACCTGGGTGGCTCAGTCAGTTAAGCGCCTGCCTTCAGCTCAGGTCATGATCCCAGGGTCCTGCGATCGAGACCCGCATCAGCCTCCTCACTCAGCGGGAGTCTGCATCTCCCTCTGCCCCTACCCCCAGCTTGTACGTGCACTCTCTGTCTCAAATAAATAAAATCTTTTTTACTTTAAAAAATGAACTATTAAAAAAAAAAGTTACCCCAGTAGAGATGAACAGCGAAGGCGGTGAACTCAGAAGTTGTTAGTAACTCAGAAAATCACAGGAAAAGGAGATCTTTCCAAACTGTTACTCACTCCAAGGACTCAACGTCGGAGGGGACCTGCGGCGGGCTTCTTGAATTTCCGTTTCATTGTGATGACTGGCCCTGAGAGACAGCTTCCTTTGGGCATAGCGCTCTGCACCGTGTCCCAGGCCCATAGGTTCTGACACCAGTGGTTGAATTTACCTCTGGACACCCAACATCATGAGACTTTATCCGTGTAACATGAATAACAGCAAGGGCAATAGGGTTAAAAGTTTTCCTTCATTGCCTCAGATCCCTGCTCTCCTGGAGACCCAGCCTCCTGGCCTCCCATGTTCTGCCCTGGGAACTGGACAGCCGGCATGGGGGGCCCGTTCCATCTTCCCTTGCAGTAGATCAAGTTGCAAAGTCAACAAGACTCCTGTAAGCTCCTGCCTGCACTCACCCTGCCTGACATGGGACTGCAAGCTAAGGGGGATTAATTTGATAAGAAATAAAACACTCCAGCAAAGAAAAGTCTGAGTAAATCTTTATTAAAATGTTTCCGTCTTAGCAGGAAAACCCAGGAAGAAATCTAGAGAGACTATTACAACCAAGACCTTTTACCTCAAGATAAAGAGAAAAAAAAAAAAGACTGTATAAATCTTAGCAAATACTTATTAGCAAGTACTTTATTTCTATGCTGGTTTTTGCCAATTTAAACCCCCTTATGGAGATTGCTTCTGCATGGTCTCAAACCCTCAAATAATAAGCTGAAAAATCTTGCATAGTGTTTTCTCTAGGAAACCAAACGGGCCTGAGACCTCCTCTCCTTTGCCTACTCACCGTCACTACCAACAAAGATGTAAATTTGGTATTGAAAATTTTAACCTTTTAAATCTAAATATTAAGTCTGAATAAAAACAATTCAAGGTATTTGTATTGGGATTTTAGGCAGATGCTGAGAAATGTGGGTTAAAATAATCCCGCAGCAGAAAAAAATCCAATAAAAGGCAACTTTCTAGAGTTTTTACTTAAGATGGGAAAGAAAATGTGTCCATGAAGCTGTGATTTCTGAGAAAAGTTTATTCCTTGGACATGGATTCCGCCAACTAAGTGTCTGCCTGACGCTGGCTACGGTATTAGCGGCCAGGCGAGCCCGTTCTCAAAGCACACGGCCCCGTCAGCCCCTCTGCAGCCCCAGCAACAGCTGTGCCCAAGCACCTGCAAATCTGAAGTTTCCCCAGCAAAACAATAAAAATCGAAATGAAACCTAGCGGTTCTTCTGGCTGAGGCTCTAGAAGCCCCCAGGAAGGACAGTGTTTAGGAAGGAGGCCTTGGCTCTACATAACGGTGGCTTACAGAGGTTTTTAAGACACGCAAGAAGCACGTGAGGCAGCACTCAGCGAGGACACCGTCACCCCTGGGCTTCGGGGGGTCTTGGCCCCTCATCCAGCAAGCACCGCCGAGGGTCTGCCCACGGGAGGAGGCAGTCAGGCAGATTAATCCTCCTGATTACAAGAGCTCAGCTTTCCTTGCAAGTATCCTCAAGGAGAGCGCCAAACCACCCATTAAACCAATATTTTTCTTAAGTTTATTCTCCTTCTTAATAACCCAGTAATCTGGAGCTAAATGGGTGCTCAGCCCCTCCTTCTCTCAACCCAACCTTCTTCCATCCCAAACCTACCCACCCCCTCATATACCCACACTTCGTTCCCCTCCCTCCTCTGTCCCTTGAGCCAGCCCCTACCCACTCTGATGTTCTTTTCTGCCGGGACCACCCCCCACCCCCCACCACCTCACTGAGCCCCAGGCCTTGAGACTCTGCTGCCTGAGACTAAATCTGGCCGGCACTGAGGACAGCAAACAAAGGAGCAACTGTGGGAACTGACAGCTCAAGGACTCTGGCATTGGGTCTGCCCTTGGAGGTGTGGGAGGACATGGCATCCATCCCTAAATGGCAGAGGGCGGGGCAGGGCATCACAGGCCTGAAGACGGCTCAGCCACACTGCTACTTCGGTGAATGGTCGAGGCAGAAATCAAAGCCCCGGGGTCCTAGGCTTGCAACGCTGGCTTCAGTATCATCACTAAGATCCCTACAATTCCCTTTCCAAAAGGAAGAGAAATGGAAAAAGAAATGAGAAAGGACAGAAAGGAGGGAAGGAAGGAGGCAGGCGGGGAAAAGGAAGGAAGGAGCGGAGGGAGGGGAGGAGGGAGGAGGGAAAGTCTATCACTCTAGTTTGGGGTGCAAAGTGTAGTTGTAACACGGCTACTCCAAGCAGATGTGAATCCTGTTCCCTGTTTTAAATCCTGTTTTAAAGCCCAGTTTCAGGGAACAGGATTCTCAGGCGGGAACACACCCTAAAAGCCTTCCACGGACAGCGTGTGGTTGAGTGCGTAGGCGTCCCCATCCTCTTCCTCCAAAAGTAGCTTGTCGATGGTCAGGGAATTCATGGCTCTCCTGGGGTCCTCCATGTCCTGGAGGACTGGCTCGGGGATGGAGATGGGCAGCTGGACAAACTGGGGCCCGGGCAGGGCTGGGGCCGGAGGCTGGTACTGCAGGGTGGAGGTGGGCAGTGTGGACAGGGGCTGAGGCCATGGGAAGTAGGTGAGGGGCGCCTGGTGCTCTGGGGCCTCCAGCTGGGGCCCCACCGTGGGCGCAGCCGCACTTCTCGTCTGTGACGGGAAAGACACAGGACCAAGGGTTAGCAGCCCTGGGGGACCCACCCGTCCTTGCCCGTCCTTGTCCTTGTGGGATCTCTCCATCCCCCTTTCCTGCTGTCTCCCTCAGGGGCTCTGTCTCCACCTGCTCAGAGTCCCCCCCAAGGGAGAAGCCACACGGACTTCAGCTGGGTCCCTGACTTTATCCCTCACTAGCTACATGTCCTTGCTCACACTACCTCCCCAAGCATCCGTTTTCTCTTCTGTAAAGAGAGTCCCAGATAGGACTGATGCCATAGGGCCGAGCCTATTAGAGATGCTTTTCCAGATTTTATTGAATATACATTCCATCCCAATTTCAGGTATATTAAAATGTGGGTGGGGGGAAATGTACATCTTAAAAATCAGTGAAAATACAGCATGCTAAACAAGCCTGTCCCGAGCTGGCCACTGTCATGCCTAGACACAAAGACTGTCCTGGCTCCATACAGCAGCTCTAACATCCTGGGGTCCACCTGGGCCAACATAGCTCCACTCACCTCCCTCCTGCTCTGGGCCAGACCTGGGCACTGGGAAGCACCGATCTATTAGTAAACAAGGCTTTCCTTAGGGCTTCCAGCACCTTCCATGTCCTCATCCTCCGCCTCTGAGCTGCGCCCCCCATGGCCATCCCAGGGCCATTTTCTCAGGTGCCCTGCACACAATGCCTCTCCTCTGTGCAGCAGCCACATTACAAAGCTGAGGTCAAGCCTGCACGAGAGGCAGGGCCTAGATCCTCACTATCTTCTACAGCTGAGGAAGCAGGGGGAGGAGGAGGAAGGACTCTGCATGAAATGATTTGAGCGAGACCCAAACCTCCCCCTACTGCCCCGACTTCCCCCATCCTGTCCCTGTCCGGTTGCCACTGTTTTGAGAGCAAACCATTAGAATCATTTCGGGACGAGCTTATTTCACTTTCCTGGGAATCTTGTGACAATGCAGATTTTGGTCCAGGAGGCCTGGGGGAGGGCCTGGGACTCTGCATGTCCACTCAGGTCCTTGGTGATGCCAGTGTGGCTGGTCCAGGGACTGTAGTTTGAGGGGCAAGGCTCTAGGGTGTTTTCCTATAGAATGCTAGAGCTGGAAATGGTCTCCAAGGCCTTCCAGCCTCCCAACAAAGCCTTACTATTTCCAGTACCTCAAAAATGCACATGGAACTCCTCCTTTTTTGAGTCATAAACCCGTGCAGGTCACCTGCAATGGCAGGTTTGTTGGCTCAGAGATGGAATTCCATTAACCCAGTGCTACAAAATGTCTTATCTCCTGCTCATCAGGAGTGCCGACTGGTAGCTCAAACCAGCTTTGATGAGTTCATTTACAAAGCGGCAAAACAAATAAATTATTTCTTAATAAATAGAGTTTGTTTGATACACAGAGCCTTTCAAAGTAGGAGGTGGGGCTAATGAAAGATAATGAAAGAAATCCTTGGGATTGAAATGACTGGGAACAGTTATATCTGCCACCTCCCACCCGCACCCAAGGCCCCCGATATGGAAATGAGTTGCTTGGGAAAGGTGTTGAATTCACTCCTTCCTATCCACAATCATGTAGGCCCCCCAACTGGTTCGCTGGGTAGCCAGGGGAGGGGCATGGGGTAGGAGGCCTTCTGGGGGCCCTTGCCTGGATGGTGATGAAAAGGCAGGGGCATCAGGATGACGCTGAGCCCTTGAGAGAAATGGTTGGGAGGCAGGGACCCAAAGCAAGCTCCAGCATCAATGTGGGCCCTGCAGCTACTCATGAGGCCCCAGCTCCCCTTCCCACAGTCTTCCCTGAACTGAAGCTGGACACGGCTATACCCATAGACCTCTTCTCCTCTGAACACTTGGGGGATTCCCATTCCTTTGCTCAAACAGGTACCACTCACATAAAACTATTTCTCTTGCTTTCTTCATTCCTTTCCCGCCTGGCACTTGGAGGCAGCCACTGGCGAATGTGGCTGGCCAACTTTAATCAGTCATAATAACATTTATGGAGTGTTTTCTGCATGCCAAGGATGATGCTAAGTCCTCCACATGTATCATCCCAATTGATCCTGACATCAGCCCTCTTGTTAGTATTCCCAGTTCACAGATGAGGACACCAGGGCTCAGAGAAATTAAGTCACTCAGGCCAGGGTCTTCTAGCTCCTAAGTGAAGGGACAATGATTTGAACCCAGGCAATCTGATGCTAGAGGCAGCACTGAAAACATTACCCTACAGGTGGGTCTGACTTCATCAACAGTAGTTTTCTGTGGGGCACCTGGGTGGCTCAGTCGGTTGAGCGTCCGACTCTTGGTTTCAGCTCAGGTCATGATCTCAGGGTCGTGAGATCGAGCCCCACATCGGGCTCCGGGCTCAGCGGGGAGTCTGCTGGAGGACTCTCTCTCTCCCTCTCCCCTTCCCCCAGTCACATGCTTGCTCTCTCTCTCTCTCTCTAAAAATAAATAAGTACATCTTTAAAAAAAGAAAGGTAGTTTTCTGGAAAGTTGTGTCACCTGTTGCTTAGCCTTAAGATCATCTGGAAAATCCCATTAAGTGAACAATCACCCCCCAAGGTATCTGAATAGAAAGAAAACACTGACTCTGGTACAAGACCCCACACAGACCTCACCTGACACCCCATTCACTGAAAACTTAAACTTGCAACCAAGACTTGCCTCTTTGGGGGCAGCAGGGGAGATTTAGGGCAGAGAGGCTGGAGAACATCCCAACCCTGAGGAGCCTGAGGTATGACGAGGGAGGCCCTAAGCCTTCTATTTTAGGTCACTGGGAACAAGAGCAGGCCTCCCTGCAGGACAGGGTGGGCTTGACGACTCCATTATCCTGCAAGTCAGTAGCAGGAATGATCAGGGGTCAGGAAGTCAGCCCGCATTTCAAAGGGTGCCCTTGGCGTGGGTTGGTGCAGCCATACCGTGACGTTAGTGATGAGCGGCTGGGAGGCATAGGTCAGCACGGAGGAAGGCCCCACCACCGTGTAGCTCGGGCACATGGGCTGCACGTACATGTCCGCTGAGTAGGGGCAGCTGACGGCTTCGTGGGACACGTACTCCGTGTAGGGTGTCCACGGGGCCAGGGGTTGGAGGGTGGCCGGGGCAGGCTGGGAGAGCCAGCCGGCACACAGGGCCCCCTCCTCTGTCACCGTGGAAGCAGAGACCTCCATGTCAAGGCAGGAAGGACCTGTGGGAAGAAGGAAATTGCTGCAGGTGTCACCCCGACGGGGGACCTGAGGGGTGTCCCCAGGACTGTGGGAGCTCTTACCCACTGCGGTGTAGGTCGCCAGGGGCTGATGGGGCAGCACCACCTAGAGGGAGAAGGGAAGACCAGGATCAGCGTTCAGCCATCTCCAACGGGCCCTCTGCAGAGCACCTGCCCCGAGGGCCCCAGGGCAGGAGAGTAGAGGGGAGGGTCTTCCTTATGAGAGCAAAACACCCACGCCATGTCCCAACCCTCACCACCCATCCTATGGGGGGATTCGCATTTCCATCTTGCAAGAACCTTGCGCACTTAGGGAACCGGCCTGGTCCTCTTCCGGTGGGGAGGCCCCAGCTCACGCCGGGCCGGTGGGGGTCATCTGCTCCCTCGGGCTGAGCCAGCCGGCCCATCCCCCTCATCCTACCTCGGGCGTCCCTGACTCGTTGCCCCCGGGGTCCGTTCTTCAGCAGCCACGCCCTGGCGATGTGCGGGCTTCATGGCCTCGGAGAGCATCCCACAGAGCAAGGAAGCACCCCCACCCGGCCCCGTGGGACACCCCGCCGCACGCACACGCGCACGCATACACGCACACCGGCCGCGGTGGCCCCCTCACCGCCGTAGGTGTGACAGCCGCCCCGCTGCTGGCGTGGCCACGTTTCCTCCGGAGCAGTTCCTTCACTGGCTCCTTCACGCGGACACCCTGGTACGGCCGGGGTGGGGCCGGGGCTTGTTCCGGAGCCGTGGCTGTGAAAAGCAATGTCACCGGTGCTCATCTCCCTCCCGGCCAAGCGCCCACCCCAGGGTGCCCGCTCACCTCGGCTGTGCCTGAACACGGAGGACCCACGAGACTTCCTGGACAGTCTCCCCCAGTATCGCCCCTCCTCCTGCCCCAAACCTTCTATGGCTCCCTTCCATCCCATCGATTAAGGCCTGCAAACTTCATGTACAATGGAAAGTCCTGGGCTGTGTTAGCTCAACCCATTTTCCAACCACTTTGCACACTAAGTGCTACCTACACCCCAACTCTGGCCAGACATTAAACCCCGACTTCTCTTCGTGTTCCTTGCATGTCTCATGTCCTCCTCTTTACTTGAGATTTCCCATGGTCCGGATCCCTGCTCACAGTTCTCAGCCTCTTGACTTGTCCTGGCTCAAGACTTAGCACAACCCTCCTGGCCGCCCCCGGCTACCCACAGAAGCCGCTTCCTCCTCCTGCCTCGGAGGCAGAGAGGTGTAGTGCTCAGCATAGGGGGCGGTAGAGGCCGGCATAAGAGCACTCTGAGTCCGGATGGCACAGGCCTCGACATCTGCCCTTGCCACGTTCTAGCTGTGTGATCCTGCACAAGTTACTAACCCTCTCTGTGCAATTTCTTATCAAAAGAATGTCATAAGGAGTTGCTGGCCTAGTAAATGAGAAGCACAGTAGGTGCTTAGTATAAAATCAGGTACAGAGTAAACATTTAATAAAATTGCAATCTGCTATATAATAATTAGTAATCCTTTGGTAGGATTGTAAATTTCTTACGCCCCTAACTAGATCATGAACTTGTCAAGGTGAGATATTATACCTTTTTTCTCTACACTTTCCCAGGTAGCATGTCCATAGCAAGCTCAGTAAGGTCTTTGTTGATTAATTGGTTGGATGATAATTTGAAATGTGCTGCCCTTTAGAATGTGCCCAGACCTTTAGAATGGGCTGCAGTGAATGATTCCCAGGTTCTCTGTGGCCCCCAGGAGAGAAGGTTCCCTGTGCCTTTTGTCATCAAAGCTGGGAAACCAAAGCACTGAGCTGGAACAGGGCACTTCCTGACCAGGGAGAGCAAGCCAGCAGCAGTCATGGCTGGGCAGTGACAGTCTGCCCACCCAGACGGCCCACAGCCTAGGGCCCTGGGTCTTTGGAGGGCAGGCCTGGGTCAGCCAAGAAGAGTGAGTACCACCGGCCCTGGAGACTCACACAGTGAGTCCATTATCATCCACCAAAAAGGGCCCCAGGGGCCTGGGCTCTGAATCAAAAGCCTGAAAGCCTGGATATCTATTAAACCCGGAACCATAGTGCTGCCCTGGCTGAACTTTGCTCAGTAAATACCCAGCTGATAAGAACCCACGCCTGACCCAGCACCAGACCTCCAGCCATGCCCCAGGCACACGCACAGCCTGGCCTGGAAGCCTAGCAGGCAGACAGAGGCAGTAGGAAGAGGGAAAGGGGGCATACAGAACCCTAGGGACACATGATGCAGAGAACCCCAGACTCAGATGCATCCAAGGGGGTTTCCTAACCTGGCCATGTAGCAGAACTGACCAGGAAGAGATACACAGTGCAGATACCCAGGCTTTCAGAGTTCTGATTCTGGGGGGGTTGATGTGGGCCTAGGAATCTATATTTTAAAAGTCCTTCAGATTCTGAAGCTCTGCTGGGGTTAGAACCACTGATAATTCATCCCTGATCTAATATAAGAATCTCCCTCTAACGTCCTAATAGGTTTATTATCTTCTTTTTAATTTCCCCTGTCATAACAAGGGATCTCTATTGATATTCATTCATTCTTCCAAATATCCCGGGGCACTAAGAACACATTACTGAACAACATAGCTGTGGGCCCTGCCCCCATGCATCTTGCATCTAGCGGGAGAGACAGCAACGCAACAGTTAAAACATGTGAAATTGAGGCCAAAACCCGAGTGTGGAGCAGAGAGAGATCCAGCCCGGTGCCAGTGGCCCAGGACTGCCTGTGAGCAGGTATTCCTATAAGCAGCATTAACAATGGACTTGAGAGCCATTGTTAATACCCGTATTATATATATATATATATATATATATACCCGTAATATAAAAATACCCGTATTCAAATCGGGGCTGTCGCTTACTGGTAGAAAGATCTCAGATGATTTTTTAATGCCTTGGGTCTCACTGATTCTTGTCTCCCACAGTGGTTGTGAGGATTCACTGCAGTAACACCCGGGATGCTCCCAAAGCCACGTCCACCTACATGGTCTTTGCCTTCCCGTCCCCCACCCACTTCCGCCTTCCTCTGGGGAGCTACGATGCCAGGAGGCTCTTCCTCCAACTTGACCGGCCACATGGTAACAAGCACCATTTTCCCTTGCATTTGCCTTCTGATGAAACTCGCCATTCATAATCCATCTACGGCCTTCTCATCTATACAGTGAGGATCCTAAAGGTACGTGCCGGGTAGGGTACATGCTTAACGCAGAGATTGCACTGAGCAAGCATTAAATAAATGCGAGCTAATATTATTATTCTTGTTAGTAGCCGTATCCCTTTCCAGCCTCTGAAGACAGATACCAGGTCCCCTGTAGAGTCTGAACAAACATCCCATCCTTCCAGCTATTTCTTAATCCCTCCTTGTAACCCTCCTTCTGGGTGCCTCACCCCTGCACAGAGTCCATGTGCCACTTCCCCTCATGATCACCGATGCCCAGCATTGGCTCCAGAGCCCAGGTAGGGCCTGCTGGGGCAGAGAACAGGCCACCTGCCCTCCCACACTCTGCTCACTCATTCTTAGTCACCCACAGCCACATGGGCTTTGTTCGCACCCATATCACTCAAGCTATGCGTGTCTGCAAATGGGTTTCCAGCTATTCTGAGGCACAGGGTATAGCCTGAGGCATTATGCCCTGGGGAGAAACTCAGGGGACAGGGTTATTTGGGGGTCTGAGCACTGTGGTCACACTCCTCATTCAGCTGGGGGACAAGCAAGACTCATTCCCACAGGTAGGCATCTCAAGCCGCTCAGATAGGTACGGGACTAACCCCCTCTGTTTGCATGTGCACTTCTGGGGAAGGGCCCACAGGACTCCTGAGCCCACTCCCTCCCAGGAAGTGGACACATCGAACACTTGGCTGCAAAGGGGCCAGCTGGGCATTTCCAGGATCTTGTCAAGTGGTGGCTTCCTGCCTCCTGTTGTTTTTGAATCAATGAACAAAGCAGGCTTGGGGGAGGTGCTGTGAGCAGAGGGTATCAGCCTCTGAAGTCTGGACTTCCTTCGAACCCACAGTGTCAACAGGTGTGCCCAGCACAACGACCATAAGGAGAGCAGTTTCTAAGTCCCCACCTCTTCCTCTTGCAGTCACAAAACTCCCCCAGCTCTCAAGGATCTCCTGCCTACCCAGCTATGAGTCCAAACCAGCTGCCAGGGAATCCTGCAACTGACTACAAGCGTGCAGGCATGAGCGGGGGTGCTGCCCACAGTGTCTTTGCAAAATGGCCATGACCCATCGGAATCAGAAGCCTCGGGACAATTCCCAAAGGAGCCCAATGGCCAAGTGTGTGCGCGAAGCCAAAACTTGCAGTCGGTGCCTTTCACCCCAACCTTTGGGAAGCAACAATAAACGTTTCTAATTCTACAGTAAACACTGCTCCCTAGTGCCACCAGCATGAGGAACGAGCCCACAGATACAAATTTGGAATAAGAAAAGAGCTTGGTCTGAAATCATGATTGCTTTGCCTTGGGGCTTCTGGATCCCCGAACTGAGTTAGCTTTAAGACAACTACACTAGAATATTTAGAAGGAAAATTTTAAGAGTCTTAAAATAATTTCTTTTTTTTTTTAAGATTTTATTTATTTATTTGACAGACAGCGAGAGCAGGAACACAAGCAGGGGGAGTGGGAGAGGGAGAAGCAGGCTTCCCGCCGAGCAGGGAGCCCGATGCGGGGCTCGATCCCAGGACCCTGGGATCATGACCTGAGCCGAAGGCAGACGCTTAACGACTGAGCCACCCAGGCGCCCAAGAGTCTTAAAATAATTTCTTAAAATAATAACAAGAGACAAAGAAAATAAAACAGAAGGTCAAGATGATAATACGTAAGCAGAGAGGATGAAAGTGCAGTGTCCCAGAGTAGAGTTGACCAGAGATTTTAACAGCCCCCCTCATCAAATTGCAGCTCCAGGTAGCATGTCCTCAAAGCCTGAAGCTTCCTCACCATGTATCCCGAGGTTTGAAGGCCCATTAAGTCTCCTGGGAGCATCCAAGTGTCCGCCACTGAGAAAAGTCTTCTCACCTAAACATGAGCCTCACTAGGAATCTCCTTTTGCAGGGTGAGAAGTTCAGCCCTGTTACCTTCCCACCACTGGAAGTCAGTCACCAGTGGAGTTTGGGGGAAAAAAAAAAACACAAAAAGCTCATTTACAGAAAAACCTATAAATTTGGCCCCAGTGAGGGCTTCCCTTTTCCAAAATGAGCGACGAAAAAATCTGAAAGTATAAAAAGTCAGCAGAAGACATTTCAGTTCCCCCTGCCACACACCCAGACATGCTCCACATCACAAAAATAAGAGTCCTACAGCTGTTGTTCTTCTGGAGAGCACAGACCATGACAGACCAAGCCAACTGGTCACTTCAGGCAGTGCTCCAGCTGCCTGGGCGTGTTTGCACCGAGCTGAGGGAACGTATGGATCCTACTGATTTAAATAAACATGGCCCTCCAGTTCCTTGAAGAAGGTATAATAAATATCACCAAGCACATATGCAAAATTGTCAGCACTTGTTTATTTAATGACCCCATGCAAACCACATTCACACCACAGTGAGGAAGCTACTTGGCTAAGGAGGTAGGTCCCTCCTAATGGCTCCTCGTGGAGCCAACATCCAAGCATTTATCACATTTAACTTCTCCAGGCAGCTTTCAGAGAGTCTCTTCAGATGAGTGTTACCTAGAACAGCCTCCAAGATCCTCTTGAAAGAAGACTCTTCTCCCAGCCACCGTCAGGTTGCAGATTTCCCA